TCCCCACCTATAAATAGATGACTTGCTCCATCAAAAATTATCATGAACAAAAACAACACTTAAAGGAAAGGGTTTATAGGAGAGGGGAGAGAAATTTTATTTTCCACTTAAAAGATTTAAGAGTTTCTTTTCAAAGCTACAAGCCATTGATCAAGAAAGCTTCAAAGGAAAACTAAAGAAAGCTTCAAGGAACCATTAAAGAAAGCATCATTTCTACAATGAGTGGAGGTATTACTTTAACCCTCTTTATATTTCTATTATGTGATTAATATAGATGTTTAAGATCTTAGGGTTCATGTTAAAGTATATTTATCATGTGGTAGCAGAGCTTATGGTTATGAACATCTAATTAATCCATTAAGAATAATAGATCTATTGTTTAAAGAACTGAAAATTAGAACCGCAAGTTATGATGTTTGTAGACTTGCATTTGTTTAACTTTCTGTTTTCAAAAGAAAATTTTTAAAGTGATAAGAAATTGGTTTTTTTTAATGTGCATAATTAAGAAATTGATATCACCATAATAAGTTTTATCATATAATGATTTGCACATAAAAACCAAATATTTTAAAAGAAATTTTGATATGTTTATGTATTAATTAGCTACCCACAGGTAGGCTATTTTCATAAAACATTATCAAAAATTTATTAGAATGTTTGTATGTGAGTTAATTAAGTATATCCACAGATAGCTTAATTAATTTGATACATCATTTAAGAAAAAAATTCGAAAGCTATGACCTTATGAAATATTATAGTGACTACCCACAGGAGCATTATAATTTATAGTCATATGCTTTCAATAATTTTAGTTAATGTGTTGTTTAACTTTGAACCTCAATTAAAAGCTTGTTATATCTCTAAATCGCAGCATCATTTCCTGCTAATTTGTCATCTATGGTCTCCACTGTTCCAATCCTCACTGGAATCAACTTCTCAGAATGGAAAGAGAAAGTTGAGTTCACATTAGGAGTACTAGATATGGATTTGGCACTTCGTGAAGAAGAGCCAGATCCCTTAACTATAATTAGTACTGAGGAAGAAAAGGCTTCCATAAAGCTTGGGAGAAAGCGAACAGATTGAGCATTATGTTTTTAAGAATGACAATAGCTAGCAATGTTAAAACTTCCCTTCCTGATGTAGAAAAAAGCTAAAGCTTATCTAACAGCTATAGAAGAACGGTTTAAGACTGCAGACAAATCCCTTGCAGGGAAACTTATGGCAGATCTTACAACCATAAAGTATGATGGGACAAGGTCTATGCATGAACATTGCATTAAAATGACCAACTTTGCGGCCAAATTAAAGATTTTAGGAATGAGCGTGGACGATTCA